TAGCGAATCGATGCGTTTTTGTAAGAAAAATATCCATATTCAAAACGTAATAATCACTTTAATCTAGCTTGCGCCAACAGTTGTACACTGGAAGCAGATCCGGGCAGATGACGTATGAGGTCAGCGTTGCGCATGCGCCGGTGAGTCTTGTGAAAACCAACGTTTGTTAACAGGCGCAAAGGAAGCAAAGTTTCCTTACTTCAGCAAAGGAAAACCAGTCTCCTCTTGGCGTATATCGAAATCCTCCGACATTCTTCTTTACAAATCCTCGTTTTGTACTTCTAATTAGTGACCGTTGATGGTGTCCCTGTCCTCCCATAGCGCACAGTTTTGGGATGAATCATAACATAACACCCCAGAGGATTTTTGTATCTGGGCAGCTAAACCTTTTGAAAATATACAATACAGATAGTTCAGAAACTGAACAAGAGCTTTGCCTATGAGGGCTGTTTTGACATTCATTTATAAATGTGCGTGCACAAACTAAGGTTATTCTGTCTAATATTAGATTATTAGATGCATGTAAGTTTGAAATGTCAAGCTATTGGGGGAAAAAAAATTTAAATGAAACATTATGGCCTACATTTCAGAGCCTGATGACTCTTGTGCGCTGTTGTTTGGACATGAATGAGAATTAATGAGTTGATAAAATTAAAATGCACTGTATTTTATTTCCAGAATAGAATAGTAGGAAAAGTATGTTCATGTCTGAGTTTATTCAGATTGTTCTGATGCCATGTATACAGGAATATTACAGCTGTGGACCATGTAACCTTTTCCCCCAAACTTTTTAAAAAGTTTTAACCAGCATATGGACCTTAATTAGAAAATGAAAACTAAATCAATTCTGAATCTTAAAGACATTTAAATAAATAAAAAAATCCTTACATTTACAATAGGGTTTCAGCACTTCGTGCTTGAATCGCTAATTAAAAATGAAATAAAAATAATCATTAACTTACCCTTGTGTTATTCCACACATGTATGATTTTTTATCTCCTATGAAACACAAAAAAATACACTTGTAGCATTTCATATTTAACCTTTATGTGGACCTTCAATTTTCATTTGAAATTTTAGTAATTTTATTATGTGCTTTTGTCATTTTTTATATATATTCCAGTATTAGTGCTAGTCATTTTACTTTAACCTACTTTATTTATTTGTTCATTTAAAATGAGGATTTAATGAGGTCCTATTGCCTCAGACCACAAAAGGAAATAAAAACACCTTTGGACAGCAGCAGTACTTTTTGAGGACAGCTTCCTGGCGTGCATTAGTTGTGTTACTCTTTAAAGCATGGCATTGTGCAGTGCCCGTTCTTTGTAATGGTATTCACCGCAGTGATTGAAGTACAGTGCGTTCTGTTCTCTTCCAATGTCATACGTGCCAGTTTGTGGAACACCTGCGAGGGCTTTCTGAGCATCGAAAAATGTCATGTAGACATTGTCAATTCTGTTATATTTTAACTGACTTGAGTAATAGCAGACGTGCATAGACCTCAGCAGGTGATAGAACATTTTTAAATATCAGTATTATAGCATTGGTTTGGATATTTGAGGGATACAAGTCCATGCAGCTTCCCCAACCCCCCACACTTCCTGTACCCTCTCCCATATGAGCGCTGCAGCACCTGCAAGCACGGGCAGGAAGCCAGCGCAGGTGCTAACGTAGCATCGTCCGCTCGCAGCTTGATCGGCGTGCCAGCAGCTATCAGACCCTGAGAATCTCACAGTCGCACACTTCCTCCCTGTCTGAGTCTGTGACACGGTGAGCACTGCAGAGTGCCGGGATCCATCGTTATATTATACAGTGAAACTCTGAGACAGGTGTTACGTGTGTGTGTATGAACGTATTCAGGCACGGGCCTAGTGAGGGATGTGGTGGCTTTGAGCTCTTCTGTCTTTTACATGTGCGTGTGTAAATATAGAAATAATCAGTTATGGTTGCAGACCTGATTCATCAATTAGTTCTTCTGTTTGCGCACTGTTGCTTTGATTTTAATCAGGGCTGCTTGACTGAGGGTGGATTCCGTTCTGGGTTGGAGCTGTAAGAGCAAACAACCTCTGGTGCTTTTAACCCACTGTTTGATCACTTATGCTCTCAGCTGCCATTAGGTCCTCACAGGCAGAACTTCATATCGTTCAAGTTGACAGGATAATGGTTTTGAAGTAGATGATGTGGTCATTTTACTAAGCAAAGTGTTTAGAACTACATTTTTTTTCTATTATGGCAGTGCTTTTAATAATCAGTGGTTGCTAAGGCAAGGGTTAGTGATTTGAACAAAATGCTAGTAATGATCTTTGGTGCTTAACTTGTCCTGCACCATTTTGTGCTACCGAATGATACCTCAAACTGTGTGGCTTGTTAGTCGGCGCCGATAACCTCGTGGCAGTGTGTTGCGCTTCGGGCGTCCCGAGTTCAAGTCTCATGGACCTTTCCCGGTCCTGCCCCACTTTCTCTCTCTCACTTCACTTCCTGTCCCCCCCTCCCATTACTCTAACTTGCTAAATCTGCTCTGGTATATTTATTATATTTTAGTGTTATTTTAATATTATTTAACATTTTTTGTAATATTTTATATTTTATAAATGTTTAGAATTTTGTATATTTTCAGTTGATTCTTAATTTTAGTTTAACTAAAACATAAAAAAAATGTTTGTTTTTTTTATTTAAATGTTTTTAAAAAATATTTCGAAATAGTTTTATTTATTTAAGTTTTAGTTTTAGTAATTTTAGCACTTCAGCTTAAACTTACTTCAGTCAGGTAGCATTTCAAATTTTATTGAATTGTTTTTCTATATATTTTTATATTTATATTTAATTTTATTTGAATACAGATATTTTTTAATAATAGTTTTTGTAGTTTTAGTTGATGATAACCACATTATATTTTTATAGCATTTGTATAATTGTAGTTTTTATTTTCAGTTTCGTTTTGGACCACAGCAAGTGCAGATAATGTATGATGATGGCATTCCAAAAAAAAAAAAAAATTTTCTTATATATCTTTTCAATTATTTTTTATTTATTTGCCCTAATATTGAAAACATTTACCCTTGGAATTAATAAAATGAATAAGATCATTGATTTAAATTGACGTCATGACCCTACATTATTTTAATGCTAACAAAAAAATTTATAAATTAATACTCGTGAATATTCGATGAGCATTGTGGGATACTTATTTTTTTTCTGTACTTGTTTGAGGCAGTTGATTTACCATCAACCTATGTTTTCATCTGACAGAAGTATTTGCTTCCAGGAATATGTCTGGAGTTGTAGCAGAAAATCCCTGGAATTTTTTTGTTAACGGATGGGTCTGATGAAGGGCACACTACTGCTATAAAAGCTTTGTTGTCTCTTGTCTTTGTCTGACTGTTCATTTTTCTGGTCTTCAGAATCATCTTCTTTCATCCCCCCACCCCCATCCTCTTCTGGTGTTCCTGGAAAGCCTCTTTCCTGCTGATACCATCACTTATTCATCCAGCTTCACTCTATTTTATTTTATTTTTTCATCAGGCACTCTAGTGCTGTAGCCCCATTTCCAGGATTGTGTACTTTGTCCAGCAGGCCTATCTGCACGATCATCTTCCCCTCAGGCCACAGCAACAGAGCTGACAAGCAGAGCCTTCCCCCATTGCACATGAGCTCATGATGTGAAACAGGGACCTGTTAATACCTCAGCAGCTCTCCTTTTCTAGGGATGGCTATTTTTACTGCACCAGAGAGAAAATCATCTCTCGAGCACCAATTTGAAATCATCAGTCTATAAACTCAATGAGCCAAGCTGTAAGGTTTCCACTTTAACACTTTATGGTATTATGTTCAAATGATGGAACATTTTTCCTATTAGATATAATAGGAAAAATAATCATAATGCCTGATTGTTTATGCCTGATGAAGGTTGCATGACTGGTGTGTTTTAAAATTCGTATTGAAATTTGATTTGCAGACTTGTGCAGGATTCATCTATTTTTGTGAGATATTTTGACATAAAATAGAAAAATAAAGACATAAAAATAGAAATATATTTAGATTATGATTTGATTATAATTCCTAAAATGTAATTATTTTTAATTCTTATTTTTTAGTTGAAATGTACACTGCCATCCAAAAGTGTGAGGTCAGTAAGTTGTTTTAATTATTATCAATTTTGAAAACAGTTGTGGTGGTTAATATGTTTGTGGAAACCTTGATACGTGTTTGCAAGACTCTTTGATGAATCGAAAATAAAAAAAACAGCATTTATTTGAAATACTTTTTTTTTGTAACAATTTAAAAGTTTCACTTTTGATCAACAGTACATACACTTGGAACCCTTGTGCGCTCAAATTGCACCATTTAACCTTCACAATTATACCTAAAAGCAGAGCTCACTGTTAGGGAGCTACTTTACTCGCCCTTTTCATCAAATATTTTTTATAGAATGTTGTGTGTATGCTTTTCTAGGAAACACTTTTTCAGTGTCCTGAAATGCAGTTATATTATTAGGAACCCTTCCAAATAAACAAAGAACTGAACTAATATAATTGATGCCACTTGATTCAAGTGCAGTGAAGTGTCCATTTTCTATATTACTGTATTATACAAAGTTGATTTGTGAACAAAGAAACATTGATTTAAGCCATCAAATAAATCAGATGTAGAAATAAAAACTACCTAAATTTGAGGAGCACCCCAGCATGAGTGTTTCCTGTGAGGGTGATCACAAAAGTAGTCATGGAGAGCAAATCAAATGTTGGTATATTATTGTTTTTTTGTCCACACCTCTACATAGTCTGGGTCTTGTCTGAGCAGCTTTATGGCTGTTATGTTTGGTCCAGGGGTGCTGTTTCATCTCAGCCCTGAACACTTGATTTAGGATGTGCACTCCTTCAGCCAACTGACAAGTGACAAGAGTCTAGCTCATTAGCCAGAGACTTAAAACACTGTTTTATATGTTAACCTAAGAGAGGCATTTAACTTGTCTTTCCCTTTTTTTCTGTTTCACTTTTCAGGACGCATCCATAGCACATCGCTTCCACTTGATGAGGGAGAAACATCCAGAGAAGTTTAACAGCAGGTAAGAGAACATGCATTCATGAATGAGTATATGGAGAAAAGACCAATTGAAATGTAAAAAAAAAATGATGCATATGAATGATGCAAGTGAGAAGAAAAGACGTTACAATGTAACATCTGAGAAGGCACTAAAACCTAGGTTCTGTTTAAACCAGTCATGGTAAATTATGAGCAAGCCACATTGGTTTCTGTTTCTGCTGAGTCATGCCACATGGCCCTGCCCACACTGAATACTCACTGAACCAAAATGTTGGTCTTTTCAAGTGAAGTTTCACTTTACTGTATCAGAAGCAGCCACTCTTTTCATATTTTAACATCCTTGTCTTTGTTGGTCTAAACATACATTTACACTTGGCATGAATATAAAACTTTTTCTCTATCAATTTTTGTGTCCAGAGATCAAAATCCTTTCAAATTGAAGTTTTATGATTTGACCTTCGAAAAAAAGACTTCTTTTTAGGACCAAAAAAACCCCCTGATGAATCAGCGCTCTTCAAGCTGCCTGTGTTTATGTCAGGTCTATCACAATGGCGAGCGGCTGACTGTTTCAATTTCTTTGCTAGCTCGAGTAGAGTCAGTTTGAATGGAGTTTCTTAATGAAATGTTATGCAACACATCCCTGCTTCAGCGGTGGAAAGTAAACCGGTCCTGTATCCTTTAGAGAAGGCCATTTAGAGTGGTAAAGTAGAAATTATATAGTCTAATTTGGACCCTCTACTATTATCTCCACTCAATTGGATCATTTGAAGTAAGGAGGAGAGTTGAGCAGGTAGAATGGATCAGGATGACGTTAGCGAGGCAATTCAGCATGAGAAAGGATAGCAGTGAAATCATCATTGCTCAAAGAAATTTGTAGCATACAATAAGCCTCCATCAGTCTTCCAGCAATAAAAGGGTAACTGCTCAAACTGACCCTAGAACAGCACTTTGGGTCAGCTCTTACAGCTCCATAAAATATGATGTTTTATCTTAAGGAACAGTCCCTCAAAGCCTCTGGTGCACTTTACAGTAGCCGTTCTGAGCTCCCTTTGATGTGGATCTCTTTCAAGTCTGCTCTACTGTTCTCTATTCTCTTGGATGAGAAATGCTGTAAAAAGTCTGTGTAGCCCTTGGCCGCAAAGCACTCGGAAAAAATGTTTTTTTTTGTTAAGCGTCATTAGTCCTGCTTGGTAAGACTCCAGGCATTTTAGGTTGCCATTCATTCCATGACATTCAACTCAATAAGGCAGCAGAAATATTGAGATTTAGTTATTGGTTGCATAATCTGATGTTGATTGGACAAGCAGTCTTCCACTCATTATTTAATATATAATTTTTTTATATTTTATAAATGTAAAGTGTGCACATGCACACACACTGCTGTTTCAAAGTTTGGGAAGAGTAAGATTTATTGTTTGATTATTATTTTTATATAATAATATTATGGGGGGTAGTATGTTGATCGTAATATATTAATTCAGAAAGGATACATTAAATGAAATACACAAGTATTTGTAGTAACTGTATAGGCATTTATAATGTTACAAAATATTTCCATTTCAAATAAATGCTGTTCTTTTGAACATTTGATTAATTTAAGAATCCTGACAAATATAAAACAAGGCCACAAAAATATTAAGCAGCACAATTTTTTTCAAAATTGGTGATGAGTAATACGTAATAATAAATGTTTCTTAAGCAGCAATTGCTTTTGAAAACTTATTTAAATAGAAAAAAAATATTTACAATTTTTTAAATCACACTTTATTTTTCAGTCTGTACGTATTACAATTTCATAAATTGTAATCATACTGTTACTGTAGCTCAAAGTATGTATGTTGGTACCTTTTTTAAGTTATCTATATAAATCAATATGGAATTTTATTGTTCCTAATTTTTGGGTTATCAGCCGTAACATGAAAATATTATCATAAATATCTTATGAATATCAGCCAGAACTTTAAAATTAGTGTATCCCTGCTGTTTGTATCACAGCACCTGTCTGTGGTCATGGCTTGTTTGCAGGCAAGCTTTCAGTCGAAACAAACAGTGAAGAATCCCTGTGCTCACTCTTGGAGCGCCAATCAGATTAAAGGACAAGAACTAACTGTTGTATAATGCAGTTGGTATAATGCATAAAATGATTATTCGCTCTTTAAATTCATGTTAGGCATTTTCTATTGTCTTTCCACTAACAGAATCTGTAAAACTGTTCCACAAGAAGTGTTTGAGTGGCAGTGACATGTACCGGGGTCATATATACACATACAGTATGATGTCCTGTATACAGAGCTCTGCTGTAAAACGCTGGATGCTGGGATTATATAAAGATGGATGACAACCACCGTCACACGGTTTTCCATATTAGAGTGAGAACCTGTCACGGCAGCACAGCTTTTTTAATAACTTTTAAAAATAAGTCCCTAATGACTCATACACGATCTGAATTATGGAACCTGCCTGGCTGAATTAACTAGTTAATGTTTCAGTCGTTCATAATTCATGCACCTAGATTTCCACAGGGCATTAAAAGCGTTACAGTGCGATGACAAACATCCTGTGGTTTCTCCACAATGCGGGGTTTGCAGTTGCAAGTTTCAGTCAATTGTGGCTCATTTGCAATTTATCTTTAAATGACTGACGGACAGAGAGTCCAAAATAAGAATAAATGGAATTATGTCCTCAGCCCATTTAAATCATTCAGTGTTTAATCCCAGAGTGAGTCACCCAGAAACACAATATAAAACACTGCCAAACCAAATGCTTTATCTGCTTTGCTTTGTTCTGCAGATTTAGAATAGCCAGCCAGTGCATCTGCCAATCTATGGCTTTCTAATGAGGGATGCGCTCAGTGTTTTTAGGATTTGAGAACGCACTCTCAGAGGCAGCGTGCCACCAGATGGTACATAAATGATGGTTGCCATGGAGTTGCACGATTTATCCTCATCGAACCTGTTTATGTGACATGTTTCAGTCCACCTGTTATACTTCACTCCTATGAAAACAGTGCTTTTAGTTTTAACCGGCACTCGGAGCAGCGTAATGATGCAAAATCTGCATTAAAACCGAATGCAAATTCCATTCAGGTGTGTTTATATGTGCATGCTAGGGGTTGAACGACTTCACATTTTTGAAGTCGACTTTTATGTGATGAAAGTCGAGTCGAAGTCGACTAGTCGCTGATGACGTCATTAATGAACAAATAAGTCTGGAGCTGTGATAAACACCTTGTGCACAACTATGGCATATGACACAGCGCTGCCCACATGGCTGTTGCTCCTATAACAGCTTTTTTATCAGTTATTTTGTCTTTGGGTCGTTATATTTCTCACAGATTTCTGCTCATTCTAAATCAGATACAGATAAAGCACAGTAAAGATTACATTAATATGAATGCATTAGTGAGAGCGATTGCGTGTGTGAATTAATTCTACCTGGCAGCGTCTCTCTACTAGTAGTGAAGCTGTGGAATTTACTAGTTATTAAGAAATATATGCTTGAACTTTTCAGTTTCTAAGCTATTTTATTGAGAAATCACAGAACAGTGTTGACAATACATTTCCGCACTGAATGATTCTGTGCGCGTGATGTACGAGCTACTTTTATTTGTCATTTGAACTGTTTGGAAACGGAGCGTAAATGTGGAAGTCCTTCAAAGATTTCTTATCCTGTTGCGCCCTCTATAGGACCAGCGACTAGTCGACGTCAAGCTTAAAGCATCATGGCAGAGCATTGAAGTCGACTAGTCGATTAGTCGGTGCAACCCCTAGTGCATGCATGTGTTAACATCCACACATATTCCCACAGTGACGTGTGATACACAGGGGGGAATACGTGTGACTTCTCTCGCCTCGGCGCTCAGTGATCTGCATCAGGGAACCCGCAGCCCAGGTGCTAATGACCACGAATGCACAATGGACCCGAGCCTCTGTGTCCGCTCCTCCCAACGGGGCAGCCAGAGGAAGTTTTGGATTAAGAGGTGTCAAATTGCCCCATAGAAAAGAAAAAAGCCCTCTGAGATGCCTTTGTCTTTTCGATTAAAATAACAATGACAGCTCTGTGGACAGTCAGTTTCTCAAGCAAACAATGGCAAGAAGATGAGAGGCAGGGCTGAACACAGAGTGTTCATGGGGGGGTCTTGTTTCCCCTAATATCACAGTGGATTACATTCCCACACTTTATTCCTTTGCTTTCGCAATGTTTTCTGTTGAATACTAATTTCAAATTAGTCTATTGGCTTAACTGTTTAAATGCAAGATAGAAAAAGCTACAGAAAAAGTAAGATTGCAGTAATGATGAAAAGAATAAAAAATCTACTATAAAAGAAAATAAAAATTCAACATTGATTAATTTGGTATTAGCCAGCACCGTCAGTTGAAAAATATAGACTAAAAAATTATCTGTAATGTTTTTTAAAGGGATGTAATGTTTTTTAAAGGGACAGTTCACCGTTCAAAAATGAAAGTTCAGTTATTAATTACTCACCCTCATATCGTTCTGAACAGGTAAGACTTTCATTCATCTTCGGAACACAAATTAAGATATTTCTGATGAAATCTGAGAGCTTTCTGACCCTGCATAGACAGCAACACAACTGACACGTTCAAGGCACAGAAAGGTAGTAAAGATATTAAAATAGTCCATGTGACTTCAGTGGTTCAACTGTAATTTTATGAAGCTACGAGAATACTTTTTGTGCACAAAGAAAACAAAAAAATTTGTGTTCCGAAGATGAACAAAGGTCAAAAAATGACAACAGAATTTTCATTTTTGGGTAAACTATTCCTTTAAGGTGATCTCATATAATTGTTATTATGTGTTTAAAGTAAATTTTTTTCCACATATAATATCCCTAAATAATATTATTATATATCTCGAAGACTTGTCATCTCTTTATTTAGTATTGGCACCCACCATAAAATCTCTACTGTAGTTATCATGGTAAAATTTGTGAAACACCTTAGCTGCATTATTCATCTCGATAAAGATTTGAACTTGACTGAATGAATGCTTCACAATTAC